GGGTGTTGTTTGTTTGCGGTGTTGTTTTGCCCTTCCGTTTTGGGTGTATCTACCTATTGCTAGAAAAGGGGTGAGGAAACCGGCACGTGCATTGTTGCTGCTGCTGCTGTTTTTAATTCCCGGAGCCCCGTTTTGGCATCGCTATGCGTGTAGAAGTGTTGCCAGTTTTTGGTTTGAGAGTGTTTTTTGTGGTGGTTCTGGTGGAAGGGGGAAACGCCATCACTGCCCAAAACGGCAGGTAGTTTTCGTTCGTGTGTGTTTCGCATACAGCAGTTGCAGGGAGGCGACACGTGTTCTTTGTCTGCCGTGATGGCATTTTGGTGCAAGGGTGAAGCGGAAGTGCTTCATGCCAGTGTTATTGTGTACAAAGTTGTCGTTTAGCCGGCAAGTCACCACCAAGAGATAAAAATACTACTAGTATGTATATTCACCGATTTTGTCCTGTGCCAAGTTTGGCCCGCATCTTGTGCATACCCAAGTCGTGTTCCCCGAATTTATCTTCTTCTTGTTAATTTTTGGTTGTCCAGATTGGAATGTGGCAATGTTGGTCTGTATCGTGTGCATACCCAAGTCGTGTCGTTACACAGAACTTGCTCTCGTTGTTGTTTTTTTTGTTCGCGTGTCTAGGTCGGAAACCACCAATCGGTGACGCTTCCCCACCAGCTGCCGGATCACGACTACCTGGAGGGTCTCGAGCCGCTGGGATGGCTGCACACGCAGCCCAACGAGCTGCCACAGCTGCCGCCGCAGGACGTCGTTTTGCACTCAAGGTGCGTACGGTGGGGCAAGAGAGGGCACAGTGTTGTAATAGAAGAGGGTGCGAAACACGCCGGGGCTACATTTGATTATTGTGGTCCGCTGGAGGTACAAGTACACTTCACGCACGTGTGTTGCGACAAGAAAGGGCGGGGCAAGGCAGGGTGGTGTACTATTGGGAGAAGCCGGTTGGAGGAGGTTGTGGTGGTCCACTAAAGGTACAGTACGTACGTGTGGTGCGAGGAGAGAGGGTGGGACGAGAAAGGGTAGCGCAGCAGAAGAAACGAAACAAGTCAGCTACGGCACAAACGTGTTGGTTCACTCGAGGTGCAACTGACTTGTGAAATATTCCGACACGATTAAACACGTTTTTAGGGTGTAACAGTAAGGGAGATACGACTACTGTACGTCCAGAAACGTCAATCAGACATTACACAAGAACACCCCCCCCTCGCTGAGGTTGTACATGTCTTGAACGGGTAGCCTTTCTGTGTACTGATGTATAGTTTCTATTTTATTTTTTTTGTTTGGGGCATTCCTTAATTGCCTGCGTCAGGATCATGGCGGACAACAAGACGTGGGACGGAGAGAAGACGATCGTGATCACGTGCAGCTTCACGCCGGGCTCCTGCAGCCTCACCGCCTACAAGCTCACCCCGCAGGGCTTCGAGTGGGGCAAGGCGCACAGGGACGCCACCGCGGGGGCACAGGGGTACGCGCCGACTCACTACGAGAAGGTGCGTACCATATCCATTTCCGCATCCATATCCATCCGTATCCGTATCCATATCCCGTGATACGATGACGGGTTAAACAATCGGTGAAATGTAGACACCTTTTCAGTGCTGCTGCTGCTGCTGCTGCTGCTGCGGGGTCATGGTGGATGTGGGTCCCGCGATGCGTACCTAGATACCTATAGCTTCGACCGTGTTGCACAGTAGTTTTGACAGTTTCTGCTGCTAGATGGGCCTCGCTCACACAGTACGGTAGTGCTGCTCTTGGGAAGCGATGAAGAAAATACAGCAGTACAATCCAAAATTACGAGTAGAACAAGCTTGAGAGCAACCTCCCCGAAAAATGGCTCAATTTTTGTCCGCCCTAATCCAAAGACTTGGAGGATAATACACGTTTGAGTTGAGCTAACGCTTCCCCTTCTTTTGTTTTGCCTTTTGCCTTGTGTCAGGTGCAAATGCTGCTGTCGGACCGGTTCCTCGGGTTCTTCATGGTGCCGGAAGATGACCGCTGGAACTACAACTTCATGGGCGTCAGCCACTCGGTCGGCATGAAGTACGCGCTCAAGCTCGACAACCCCAAGGTTTGTTTTCGTTTTTCGTCGCTGGAGCTGGCTGATCGCCGTGTGTGTGTCGTGTGTGCACTGATGTATGTAGACATTCGTGCGGCCGGTGTGTCATTGTTGGTGGATGAACGAAGGAGCAATTCTTGCAACCTGTGAACTTCGGCATAACCACATGGGTGTCTTGTGTGTGCACGTAGAGGTGGGTTGTGTTTGGCGTGCTGAACGCGTGCGCTATGTTTTTTCCACCCTCTGTGTGTGGCATTGTCAGAGAGTCTGTACCGTTTCTGTGATGGTTCGCTTTTTGTGCTGAAAGTAGCCAGAACGGTAAGTATTTGTTATTCCTGCATGCCACCCAATTTTCAGTTTTTTGGAAAAAGCCGAAGATAGTTGTTGCGGGTTGGCTTGTGTCGTTGTTGCCATCCCGGAAAGAAACCGATGGGCAAACTCTTGACAGTGTTCATTGCGTGGATAGATCCATTTTTGTTTCTTCCCAGCTTGGATGATACAGCGATGCCACCATCAACGCATGCCTAACGGCTTGAGGGTTTCGTTGCCACCCGCCCCATCTCGATAACCCGCCCCCAAATGCGACCCCCCCCCC